CGGCCCCGGTTCTGCTCGTGGGCCACGCTCACAGCCAGCTGTCACGCGGACCCGACGACGCGTGCGCACAAATGACTGCGTGCGCCGTAGCGGAAGTGTGAGCACGTGACCGGGCCACGTGTCGGGGGGAATGGGGGGGGGGGGGGAACGCTGCGCGCGCAATGCTTCGAGATACGGAAATGGAAGGTAATGGCAGCTAGATGTATCATGAACGGAGGCGCAGTAAAGAGACGCGGGATAATGGTAGGAGAAGAGATAGGGGGAGAAGGGAGGAAGGAAGAGAGAGAAAAGAGGAGGGAAAAGTGGAGAAGAAGAGGAGAAGAGAGAGAAAGAGAAGAGAGAGAGAGAGAGAGGAGAGAGAGAGGGAGAGAGAGAGAGAGAAGAGAGAGAGAGGAGAGAGGCGGAGAGAGTAGAGAGAGAGAGCGGAATGAAAGAGAAGAGGAGAGAGAGAGGAGGAGGAGAGAGTGGGAGAGAGGGAGAGGAGAGAGAGAGAGAGAGAGAGAGTAGAGAGAGGAGCGAGGAGAGAGAGGAGATGAGAGAGAGAAGAAGAGAGACGCAGAGAGAGAGACGAGAAGCGATGAGAAGAGAGAGACGAGAGAGAGAGAGAGAGGAGAGAGGAGAGAGAGAGAGAGAGAGGAGAGAGAGGAGAGAGACGAGCACGAGAGAGAGAGTGAGAGTCGAGAGGCGAGAGAGGAAGGATGGAGAGAGAGGAGCGAGAGAGAGGAGAGGAGACGAGACGCGAGGGAGAGAGGCGAGAAGGGAGACGAGAGGAGAGAGAGAGGAGATGAGAGCGAGAGAGAGAGAGAGTGAGAGAGAGAGAGAGAGAGAGAGAGAGAGAGAGAGAGGAGAGAGAGGAGAGAGAGAGAGAGAGAGAGGAGAGAGAGGAGAGAGAGACGAGAGAGAGGAGAGGAGAGAGAGAGAGAGAGAGAGAGAGAAAGGAGAAAGAGAGAGAGAGAGAGAGTATTAGGGGCATCCGTTGAACTATGGAGAACACTATCGACGGCTGCAACGAATAGCTGTGTGGTGCGGTGCACGGATCATGGGCAACAAACATAAATGTTGTGTTTTCTTGCCACCAATGGCAGTGCATAAAAATAATTATAAACATGTGGCCTTCAGGAAAATTGGATGATTTATTCAGTTGAGATGAAACATTAAGACAGATCAAGTTCAAGATTGACAATATATTTCCAAAATACACATCTGTAAGCACATCGTTTGAGCACATGAATTCCCGTTCAAAGTATCCGGAAAATCGCAAACTATCATCACTTATGACGCAACCTCCAGCCTCACATCACTTTAAATAATAATGGCAAAAAATCATAATTCACACATACACACAATTATTGCAGCAGTTTGCACGTCTCCGCACCATACCCGAATGGGAATGGTGAGAGCACTCCGTGCGGGGCTGACGTCATAGACGCATAGGCGGCGTACAAGGGCGTGGTGTGGGTGCGCTGGTGTTTGTTGAGGTGGTCCTTGCGGCCCGAACCGTTTGCCGCAGATCTCGCAGCCGAACGGCCGGTCGCCGGTGTGGATGCGTGTGTGGCGGGTCAGCTCCTCGTTGCGGTGAAGCGCTTGTGACACGTCTCACACTCGAACGGCCGCTCCCCTGCCGGCAAGAAGAGGGTCAATGACCTGAAGAGATGCTGGGTGCACGAGCCTTCACAGGTTTTGTGGCTTTGTGATGTTACTGATGTTACGCGAGAGCGAAAGAGAGCTATTTATTGTGAAAGACGGTCATCGATTTGATAGCGTTCATGACAATGCAAGCTGTCAGTCTATATCTTTGGCTACTACAGCTGGTGTGCAAGGATCTGCTCTGGTCTCCACAAAGCACCGCGAATTTACCAACCGTCTATAAAACATTAGTAGCCCTAAAAAGGCTTATCTTAGGCTCTTCACCTAAGGCCATGTTTCTCCTCGCGTCATTTTTGTGAGCGTGGTCATGACGTAAATGAAGGCGACATATAATCTACGGTGAAAAGCAGGAGAAAATTTGTTTGCAAAGTGCTGGAAATATATTCCTACAGATCTGGTTTGGTAGTGGGGCAGAGGAAACAATCTATCGAAGTAAGATCGGCTTGCTTGGGCTGTCGTTTAATTGCACGCTTTAAACTGTACAATTTAAACATCAACACTTGAGGCCACCTAATAAACGAATTAAAACAAATTTTGAGAGCAAAATATGCTTAATCCATGGTACAGACGTTGAAACAGAGGCGGAGGTTCGGTGGGCCGAGATAGACACTTCTAGTCACGATGAACACTGAAACATGGAAACACGAGGGAAGTGTAAAACGCTTGGTCCTCGGAAATAAAAACTGAATGCTGCATACTACATAAAGAGAATATATAATGTAATGCTTAGTTATAGAAGATGTGGGCCGGTCCGCTGCAGGGTTTTTACGTTTCTTTGTACCTGGTGTTTACTTATTTTACGGGACAGCAAATGTTGATGTAGATATGTTAGCACACAATATCAGCGACGGATCTGTCCTTAATTCGTCATCGCCATAGGGGCTTTACGACGCAGTCAGCTGCTGAAGCTAAATGGCGTCGCCTGCCTCTCACCCTGCCAGGAAGGGCGGGCGCCACGGGGAATCGAACCCTGTACCCCTGGTTTCCCAGACATGCAGCGGATTAACCCAGACGCGTTAACCACTACACCATCGGCGACCACTCTGCCCTTTATCCACATACACTGCTTCTGCCGAAACAGGATGTTGGAGCATTTTACTTTGAAACTGTACGCCCAGTGAATGGAAATAGGCATGGGAAGCGAATGAAGCCGGCGCTTTTTTCCGCTGTCAGCGACACGTAAAGTATTGCATCTCGCTTTTCAAAATTTCTCCCGCGCAATTTGGCCTACCAACAGTAATATGGTGGGTAAGCGTAGGTCAGTTGTGCGCAGTTATACGCAGTGATACGCATGCAGCGATAAAGTCAAAGTGAGGTAGCCTCGCATGCGTTGTAAGTGCCATAGGCACAAATAAAGAATTTTCCCGCGTTCACAAGACGTGAACGTGAGCTAGGCATATGTCACCCGTCTTCCGACATCTGCAATGACCGCTGGCGTTTTGACATCATGGAATGCATGGAAGCTAAAGCTGCTTGCCGAGGGCTCTGGTGATCTCACAAGCTACTCCAAACGCAGCCAAATCTTCATTTGGGGTATGATGGGCCGTATTGGATGGCATGTTCACCCGCATCAATCTCCTGACTTCCCGTGTGAAGTGCCTGGTACCTTCTAAATCATTATGGAAGACTGGGTCATGCAAGTGGGGTGATGCAAGTGGGAGTAGAATAGATAGGACACAAATCAATAAGTACCTACCTCATGCCAAAGTCTCTTTGCTGGGTGCAAAGAGCACCGAAACTTGAATCCGGCAAGTAATGCTGTGTGAGAAAGATACCTTTGGTCCTTAGTTGTAGAGGAAAACGTGCCCGTTTTTTGAGAAATGTCCGTTTTGGAGGGGGAATAAATAGTAATGAGGCTGCAACTTTGGCCCGGCTTTAACCTGAAAATGGATCAGTTGAAACAGCATACTTAATATGAGGCTGGTGTTAAGCTCAAAGTTGGCAAAGTCACTCAAATCGATTGGTCAATATAAGCTGTTCATCGAAAATTGTTTTCGAGGAATCTATCACTCAGTGATGGACTGTGTAGCCGTTTTCACACTACTTTGACATAACAACTATTCTATTTTTTGGGTGTAGAAATACTTTCCTGAATTGATGCCTATATCAAGCATTTCAGGCACTATTTAGTGATGACTCCCATTTCATTGGATTTCAATTTGTTCACTCCATGTGAGCGGGCCTATGTGAGAATCCGGTCTGGTCCTAACCCATACTGCGGCGGAAATTTCTAATCCGATCCAATGCAGGCAGCGGATTGGTCCGCACTCCGTGGATTGATCCAGTCCGCGAAAGTGCTCCACCACTCACCCGTGTGCTTCCGGAAGTGGCCGGTCAGCTGGCCCCTTGTTGGAGAACGTCATCGGGCACTTTGGGCAACAGAACTTCTTGTCGCGCCGCCGCCGGCTCTAGCCGCCTGCGACGCTCCTCCTCGGCCAGCAGGTGGAGGGCGCTCCAGGCCAGCGGCGGCGGCGGCCGGGGGGCGCGCCCAGGAACGCGCCAAGCGGGACGCCGGCCGCGCTCCAGCTGGTGCCTCGGTACAGGGCGCCCGACACCGGCTGCGCTGCAGGCTCCGACCCGTACAGGGGCGTCTCTGAGAACCGCACCGCCCGCACCGGACCGGCTCCGGCGTCCGCCGCCCATCGGTCCCACTCGACTCGGTCCGGTGCGGCTCTCGCTGGCTCGGAGCGGTCCGGGTCGACTCGGTTCGACTCGAGCCGGTCCGGCCCGCCTCGGCCGCCGGCTCTGCCCACGGTCGGAACAGCGTCGAGCACATGGGTGACATGGCGCACGCGCTCTGGTGACCGCGCCGGAGCCTGAGCTGCTGCTGCCGTCCGGCGCTACTGATGGTCGCGCAGGCCAATCAGCAGCCGCGGCGGCCGAACTGAACCAATCGCCGCCGGGGGGCGGGGCCTCGCCAAGAGCAAGAAGGCCGCTGTTTGGGGATCCTGGTTGGGCGATCAGCGTTTTAGACGTTAGGTTCGGTCAGGGCCTGTTAAAGATATTAACTGAAGTGGGATAATCTCCACCAGTGACCACCAAGCGCCTAATAAGCTGCAAGCCCCCCCCCCCCCTCAGTTAAAACCTTGATTTGCCATTTACTCACGCCTGACCGCGTACATTAGCAGCGCATTTTGACCTGAACCACGTTTGGGATGGTTTCAAGCAGATATCTGAGTCGCGGTGGATGCTTGCATTTTGTATGGTTTCAAGCATTCTAAGATGACAGCTTTTCTAATGAAATGACAGCTTTTCTTAATGAAAAATCAAAATGAACTAGAAAATACTTTGAAACGTCAGACGGGGCTGTGTAAAACAGGTGAAACAGGACAAGCCGGGCAGACAGACAGGTGCACAACATTTGTTTCTTATCGTAATATAGTATCACTTTTCTCGGTCTCATTTTTAGGCACCCAGGTCTGTCAGCTGGACCGTGATTAGCAAATATATGTACCGAAATTTGAACAAAGATATGATCAACATGTGTTATAATTTTTGTGTGTGGGAGTTCTGCTCGATTCTGTTCTCATTGGTTCAGTTTCATGAACAGCTGCGACCGCCAGCAAGATGAGGACAGAGCGCGTGATCCTACTGACGGGTCAGCGCAAAATTATGGTTGGAAGCCGGGGGACAAATGAGGACAGTTTTACCATCTATCGCCCCCCCCCCCCCCCCGTTTCGCTTTCACTACCAGTGCTTGCCCCCTTGCCTGGCGCGTAGCTGAACAATCCCTTTTGACAGCACAGCATATCACGGTCTACGCAAAGCATCCTCCGCGCCAGTCGCCATTAGCCTGTTCATTATTAAACACAAAACCATTTACTGGTGCTTGGATCTCTTTGGACACGCACTAGACAACTGACGTAAAGTTCCTTGCATACATGAGCATCGTTGACATAGGGTAACGCAGTCGTACCATCCCTTATTTTTGCGATGACTTCAAGCGTACGGCTTGCTTCTAGGCGTCCCAAGCAGGAGAGGGTTAAAACTAAAAATTAGTGCACCGCAAGTGTCAAATAGATCAGTGCAACTATACATCGACAAGAAGATAAGGAAGAAGAAAAAGAATAAAAGGACAAGAAAACGTGTTGTAGGACACAATTGCTTGTGTCACCATGAAACATTGTACATGGTGGGAGGAGATGGATTGAAAAAGTAACTATGACGACCAATTACGTCAAGGGGTGACAGTTACATTGCAGTGTGTCTGCTGTAAGGTGTGTGGAAGCTGTGTGCGGCTAATTTCAACCTTGCAGGATAGCCTTTCTCATTGTGTTTTTATCCAACGGTTGTGTGGGCACGTGTTCGCTTTTAAATTGAGTGCGCCATCTTTTTATACTTTTCACCTTTCGTGAGATCAGACGTATCCGATTTGCTCGGAAATGCCGATTTTTTCGAAATTCGTCTAAACACTCAAAATTCGGATGTCAAAAATCGCTCCTATGGGAGACATCTCATTGGACTTCCGCTCCCAACTATGCAAGTAATACGTCTCATTTGCTTTTTTTCTCATTACGGCGTCGATTTCTCATCTATGGCGTATGGCACTGTGGCTCTTTTCGAAGGGCACTTTGGTTTTGGGAAACGGAGTTTTACATGGTCTATAAAGTGACTCACTGGTTCAAACTTCAACCAATGCGCTTCTCGTGGCTGTCCTTTGCCGCCCGCTGTACAAATCACAAACGTTGATTTGGACTGACGTCATTCGTACCAGTAGGTCCAATACTTAACCGTCAGGCCCGCAATGCTCGGATCTAAACAGCTAAAAGTGATACATGTAACCCGTAAAAGCAACAACGGCCTCAACAAATTCTGCAATCGTTGTGATGGCGGCAGTTGTCATGACGACAGTCGCGACAGCTGCAGGTGTCGCGGACTCTGGATGCACTCTGGGGCTACCAAAAAGGAAGAAATACAGTTCTGCTATAAGCGAAAATACATGAAACAATAAATCAGGAGCCGTCACTGACTAGGGACGGGAACCGCTACAACCTGTGGCAGCGTTCCGTACCCGGATCTGATAGGTTTAGTGCCACTCATTAGCCGTTAAGGGTTGTGACGTTTGTTGCCGTTGTTGATGTGCTTTGTTGGATGTTTGTTTCGATTTGTTGTGCTTGTTAGTATCGAGCACGGGACTGCTGTGGGGGGGGGGGGGGGGCGTGAAGTGGGCTGTGGTATGAGGATCGCCCTCATGATGTGGCGTCCTGCCATTGACCGGTGCAGAGGTGCGATCCGTGATCGGTCAGGTGACGCCCTCGAATGCAGTCTGTACCGACAGCCCGTCTATGACACCTGTGGGTTAGCGATTTAAGGTCTGTGGAGTTGTGAGCGTTGCAGCAAATCAGTTGACCACCAATAACAACATGAACAGTAACCAGTGCGTCTGCTTTGATGCTATCATTTTTAAAACTTCAGCTGAAGGAAGATGAAACCGGAAGCGTTATTTTAACGGCAAGTATTTACGTGATTATGTTACATTTAGGCAGTTCACAATCCCCATATCATCATTTACATTGTTCAACGGTGAACTCGATATGAATTGGTTGGAATTGGCCTTTTCCTTAAGTTATACTAAATTCGGTATAAACTAGCGTAAATGCTACCGAATCGTAAAGCATTTATTTGGTCCATGAAAATTGTTGCTGAAGACGAAGTAGGTGGGAGGACACATCTGGCGTATTTATTTCTAATGAGAACCTGTAATAGGAGCATGTAATCGTTCATCACGGGGTGGGTGGACGTAGTGAACCTGTGTGTGCGATTTCTGGCTCAATCCCTTGAAATATGCATTTTGATGCCTGTGTTTTGAGCCAAGACCACTCAAAGAGTGTCCCAGTCGTTAAGAGGCCTGGTCTTGATATGTCGAATGCATCACGGTATTAATGATGCTGATGTATTCATTGCTTCAGCTGTGCCTTCCAGCCGTGTTCACATGTGCCGGAGTATACCTGATGATAACGCTTATAATGTGTGCATCTGTTCCAGACTTGAGAGCATCACATGTGAAGACCCATGATGCAGCCATGACGTGGCCGCTCTCCGTTTGTTTGACCTGTGGACTGGTGTACTGGATGGAAAACTCCCTCAGGTAAATGCATGTTTGGATTGTATAGATGTCTCAGAAGAGTGCGGGAGCATCTACATCAGGCCTAGCCGCCTTCGCTGCTTCCGGTAAAAAAGCCCTCGGCGAGACGTCTTAATTTCTTGGGCTGCAATCACGATTGCATTTTACTATAGGCGCTACAATGACAAGATCAAATGAAACAATGAATAGCTAGATATTTTGTATGAGGGCAGCACAACGTTTTAAAGGATTGGGCAAGCATATTACATCATGCCCACTCAAAGCATCTATGTCAAACTGCTCTGTCTGATCCTCAAGACTGATATATATATATATATATATATATATTTATTTATTTATATTTATATACATATTGCAATGGTTGTAAGACTTAAACAACCAGCACAGTTGACGCGCTCTCACACCCGATAACTAACTAAGTGGTTGTATATTCGATGATATTCACTGCGTGAATACTTTGCAGTTGGATTGCTTTCCGTTTCAGCATTTATTCACGTCGACGTTTATTGCACTGAAATAGCACCATTTATTTTCCGTAACATTTACAGTGACAACATTTCTTCCTTCAGATGCTGTCCTACCGGAACTTCTTCACTCTCTTTCAGTTTCGATGATTATCCTCCTGATATTTCTGCCGTTGACATTTGACTTTTTGAACATTTGCGCTCAGTATCTTTCGTTCCGATTATCACTTGTTTGATGTCTAGTAATATAAATAGAACTTATTTATTGGATTCCTCGGTTAATAAACTCCATTAGGTTCATTGAGAACCAATGCATTGACTTCGTCACACCATTCAAAATACTCGAGAAGACTACTGGTGGAGTCTCGCATTTTTTAGGAAGGCGGCGAACCTTCCCCAATTTCGGAATTATGCATGAAATCTGGATTTTTAAACACAAATTATTTGGGATGGACCATTGAAAAAGTAGACGGCAGCCCTACAAGATTCCGCGTCTATTATTGTATATACCCCATCATTATGTCCGCACCTTTCAAAGAAAAATGCAGGGGATTTTAGTCTCCAAATGTATGGAAGCTTACTGAAGGGGAGAGCGATATGAAATCATGTTGTGTTGCACGCAATTGGTTGCGAGCTATTTCATCACCAGAGAACTTCTCGCAGAAGTTCTTAGGCTGTTTCTGGCTCTGAGAATATCGTCTAAACGGCGTTTGAAAAACCAAAATATGTGCAGTCATTACCTTTTTATGCTGCCAAGTAATGGATGATAACACTCCAACTGGAGCCACCTTTTGTTATTTTTGAACAGGTGAACATACTGCAGGACATGGAGATTCGAATTCGAAAAGAATCGAATTCGAAAAGAATAGAAGACATTGAGGTGAAAGACAGGTGAACCAAAACTGGCAACTTCAGCTGTGAACGTAAAATTGATGCTGCGGGCTACTACACGATGCTGGTCATTCGAGACAGCGTGGTAACAAGAATGTGGCACTAAACAGTATTGTTAACATTGCCACGCTCTGTGCTTAATGTGCTTAATGTGTCAGGTCGTTTTAAATGATGCACTAAACGCATTTGCGTCTCCTGATCCCCAGGGGTAGGATCGAGGAGCGAAAGGCATTCGGCTTTATGGTACAAGATTAAGCTATGCAGATGCCATTCTCGCTAAGTCTCTGGGCCAGTCACGGCTATTCTATTATAATGATTCAGCCGAGCAATGGCAAAACAAGACCAGAATGGCCCTCTCCGGATATAATGAGATGAATGAAATAGCTAAAAGGGAAGAGCCTGTCCGGTAGGCGCCCTGCGTTCAGAGAATCCACCTCATTGTGGTCATCGGCACTCCATCAATTTACTATTGGCCCAAAAATCAATTTGTCATGTGAAAGAGATGACCGGTCGAGCCGTTCGAGACTGCTGAATGGCAGCAGATCTGGCCCGGTCGGCCTTCAATGCCACCCTGAGTGAGACGACACAGCCTTTGACTGCCGGGTCGCGGCGGCCACCGCCCGTGGCGCGGTCTACCGCAGAGTCAACCGGACAAAGCCGCTGACCCGGCAGACCGCGCCGCTCTGCCGGCCGCCGCGTCATATTTTGATAGCGGCGGGAGGGAAGGCGGCACGGACCGGCGCCATTGTGGCGTCGACAAACGCCAGCGGCGCTCGCGCTGGATGAATGGGCGCGGCGCCGCGGGGATGGGACCCACGCCAAACATGGCGCCGCTGCGTCACCGCCGCCGGGTTCCGCGTCCGACGCCACGAGCTGGGGGGTTCCGCGTCCGACGCCGCGAGCTGGGCCGGGTCCTGTGTCCGACGCCGCGGGTTACGCGTCCGACGCCGCGAGCTGGGCTGGATTCCGCGTCCGACGCCGCGAGCGGGGCGCTGCGGGATTCTGGAGCAGGGTGTGGTGGCGGTCATGCAGAAGTGAGGTTTGCGCTGGACGATGTTGAAGGACAACAATGTGGCAGGCAAAAACAACAAAGAGATTCAACAAAGGGAACGACAAATTGACGGAGGGATTGAGACGATATTCTAGTATCACGGAAGGGATGCATGTTCGGACCATCGTCCCCGTCTGGTCTGTTAGTATATAGACAGCGTCTGGTCTGTTAGTGTACAGACGACGTTTTGGCCAGTCAATTCTCCGGCCGTCGTCATGTGCTATGGAGCCCTCAGACGGACTGGCCGACGTCTGGCTTTTAGCCGTGTGCGCGTCACGACCGATAGTCTCCCTGGAATTACTGGGATTCGGACCAGGGCCAGGGTAAACCAGGCACAGCGCCAGGGTAAAAGTCGCGTGCATACCGTCGCACCAGATAGGAACGCTACGTCGTACCTT